TCTCTCTCTTCCTGTCTCTCTCCCTCCCACTCTATCTGAAGATAAATGGGAAAATATCCTCAGGTGAGGATTAAAAATAAATAATACATACATACATAAAGCATCACCTTATATTCACCACCCAAAGAACAGGAGGAATCTCTCCAAACCATAGATGTTCATCTGTGGTTGTATGTAGAGCAACAATTAATGCTAATGCTCAGGTATAAGTCCTAAAGCATATAGAACATTTGTTTTTCATGTTGTGGCCTGTAGCTTTCAGAATTCTTATCTTACCTGGAATTTTTTCTCCACCTTCTCGCAATGTTCTTCCTGATTCTAATCTGTAGTTTGATTTGGCTTATTGTCAGTGCATGCTTTATAATGATAGGACTACTCTTGCCCTCCCTGCTAGCAGAAACAAAGTAATTTAAAACTCATTTTGTGCTTTGTTTTTTGTTTTTTAAGATTTTTTTACTGATTTTTAGAGAGAAAGAAAAATCCACGTGAGATTGAAACATCAATCAGCTTCCTCCTGAAGGCCCTCTACCAGGGATCAAGCCCAAAACTTGGTCATGTGCCCTGACCAGGAATTGAACTGGCAACCTTTTGGTGCATGGAACAACACCCAACCAACTGAGCCACACCAGCCATGGTTGTGCTTTGTTTTTTAATTTTATTTTATTTTTATCCTCACCTGAGGATATTTTTCCATTTTTTGTTCAGATAGAGAGGGAGGGAGGGAGAGAGAGAGAAACATCAACGTGAAAGGGACACATTGAGTGGCTACCACCTGCACACGGGTTGTACTTTGTTTTTATGAAGGAAAGAACTGGAGTAGTGGCACTGGGATGTGGGAGGTTAGGTGGGCCTAGCTTTTGACTTCTTTGATGTGTTTCCTCACCACAGGACTTAGTTGTATTCCGTTGAATACTAGGTAGAATAATAGTGCCTACCGTGTAATATGCATGTTCTAGTCATTTTGCATATATCAGCTAATCCTCAAACCAACCTATAAGATAGGTAATATCCCCCATATTATGATGGGAGATACAGAGTATAGGTAAAGAAGCTTGTCCAAGGGTCACAAAGCTGGTAAGTAGCAGACCTAGATAGACTCTCTGTATAGACAGTCTGGCTGTAGAAGCCGTGCTATTACAACTGGCTGTGCTGACTGGATTGAGATGTAAGGTGGAAAATGGTTTGTGAGAGGGCCTCTGGAGACTTTCTTCTTTTTCATACCTAGTGTTTAGCTTCCTGCTTAGCCCAGTCTAAAGTCCGCACTCAGTCTTTCATCTTCTAGCCTACCTAACCTTTTGTTGAAATCCCTGCCTCTTCTGGTGTTAATAATTCCCTCGAGTTGTAAGACCTTAAGTTAATTCTCAAATAAGTGAAAAAAAAAAAAATCCCAGCCAGTGTGGCTCAGGTTGAGCATTGACCTATGTACCAGGAGGTTCCCTGGTTCCTTTCCTGGTCAGGGCACATGCATGGGTTACCGGCTCTGGATCCCTGGTAGGGGGCGTGCAGGAGGCAGCCAGTCAGTGTTTCCCTCATCATCATTGTTTCTATCTTTCCCTATCCCTTCTCTCTGAAATCAATAAAAACATTTTTTTAAAAAATCTTGAAGAAATAGTGCTCATAAAACCTGAGAAATTACGGAGGGAGGAAGCTAGTCACATTGTGTGGATTCTTTTCCTCTTGTCCCCTACTCTTCAGGTCAATTCTGGTTTCAACTCTTAATGGTTTAGCACTTGGATAACTGTACATTGTAATCTTCCTTTAAGCACCTACAATATTTTCCTGAACCTGTGGAAATCCTTTCTCATATGTTAGATCAGTCTGTACTCTTCAGTCTTGCTGTCGAAGCCCCTTTGTGCTGTCCAAAGCCTAAATTTTTTTTTTTTTTTTTATCCTCACCTGAGGATATTTTTCCATTTTTTTGTACAGATAGAGTGGGAGGGAGAGAGAGACAGAAACATCGACGTGAAGGGACACATCGAGTGGCTGCCACCCGCACGACCAACCAGGGCCAGGGACAAACTGCAACCGAAGTACATGCCCTTAGTGGGAACCGAACCCGGGTCTCTCCAGACCGCAGGCCGACGCTCGAACCGCTGAGCCAAACCGGCCAGGGCCAGAGCCTAAATTTAACATAGTGATTACATTTTGCCATCTCTTTGACTTTGCTCATGGTTCTTTCTACTGTCAAACTCCTAGATTCATCCAAATTCTACTTTTCCCCCAATAAAAACAGTACCTTTTAGGTGGTGGGGAAACTTGAATCCCTGACTACTAGACCCTTTGTACTGAGCCCAGACTCGTTTTTATTCTCCCTTATCAGGTCCTAGAGTTGATGCCTCAGAGGATACAAGTACTATTTTCCCCAAGAAAAACAAAAGTTTCATTGAATTCATCTTAGAGTAGCCACTTGGGAGAAAAATAAAATTTGATCTCTATTTTATTCATTACAACAAAATCAATTCTGGGCAGCTGAGAGATTCCAGTATAAGAAAGTGGAACCACAGGAAGACTAGAAGAAAACTAAAAAATGTATCAACCCTGGCTGGTATGGTTTGGTGGATTGGGCATCATCTCATGCACCAAGAGGTCGTTGGTTCAGTTCCCAGTCAGGGCACATGCCTGGGTTTCTGGCTTGATCCCCGGTAGGGGGTGTACAGGAGGCAGCCAATTGATGTTTCACACTCACATCAATGTTTTCTCTCCCTCTCCAGTCAATTAATAAAAATATATCAGAGTGGAGGAAAATAATAAATGCAACTACATTAAAAAATTGCATGACAAAAGACAAACAGGATGTTTCAACAATACAAGGGTTAATTTCTTGAAATAACATTTAGGACTTGGGAGTCAAGAAGATAGGACCTATAAGAGCAGTGGTTCTCAACCTTCCTAATGCTGTGACCCTTTAATACAGTTCTCGTGTTGTGAACCCCCAACTATAAAATTATTTTCGTTGTGCTTTCATAACTAATTTTGCTACTGTTATGTCTTAGGCGACCCCTGTGAAAGGGTCGTTCAACTCCCAAAGGGGTCATGACCCACAGGTTGAGAACCGCTGCTATAGAAACAGGCAAAGGATATAAATAGCTTCAGAAAAGCAAAAATAAGTTACTATAGCCTGGCCTGTGTGACTCAGTGGATTGAGCATCATCCATGGACTGAGAGAGCTGGATTCCATTCCCAGTTGGCACATGCTGGGTTGCAGGCTTGATCCCCGGTAGAGGGTGTGGAGGAGGCAACCAATCAATGTATCTCTCTCACATCAATGTTTCTATCCCTTCCTCGTGCGTGCTAAAAACAAAACAAAACATTTTTTAAAAAGAAAAATAGCCCTGGCCAGTTTTGCTCAGTGGTTAGAGTATCAGCCCCCGGACCAATGAGTTGCGGGTTCGATTTCGGCCAAGGGCACATAACCTCGGTTTTGGTTCATCCCCGGCCCTGCTCTGGTCATGCGGAAGGCAACCAGTCGATGTGGCTCTATCACATTGATTTTTTACTGTCTGTCTCCCTCCCTCCCTCCTACTCTATCTTATAATAAATAGAAGAGTATCCTTGGGTGAGGAATAAAAAAAAAAAAATAAGTTACTGTAAAACATTATAGGGAAATGCAAATTAAGTTTGATAAACACTTGCAAAAGTGTAGGGAAGCCAGCCCTCAACACATGGTTTGAGCAGCAATTGATAAACTTCATAAGGCAGTTTGACCTGGCAGTTTCACTCCTGGGTGTTTATCATATGAATTTGGTTACAAATATATATGTAATACAGCCCTGGCTGGTAGCTTATTTGGCTAGAGTGTCATCCCAAAACGCCTTGGTTGCAAGTTAGACCCCTGATCAGAGCACATAAAGAATCAAGCAATGAATGCATAAATAAGTGGAGCAACAAATCAATGTCTCCCTCTCAGATCAATACGTTTTTTTATTTTATTTTATTTTTTTATCCTCACCCGAGGATATTTTTCCATTTTTTGTACAGATAGAGTGGGAGGGAGAGAGAGGAAGGGAGACAGAGAGAGAGAAACATCAACGTGAAGGGACACATCGAGTGGCTGCCACCCACACGACCAACCAGGGCTGGGGACAAACTGCAACCGAAGTACGTGCCCTTAGCGGGAACCGAACCCGGGTCTCTCCGGACCGCAGGCCGACGCTCTAACCGCTGAGCCAAACTGGCCAGGGCTCAATACGTTTTTTTAAATAACATTAACACTGCCCTGGCCGGTTTGGCTCAGCGGTTAGAGCGTCGACCCATTGACCAAAGAGTTGCGGGTTCAATTCCAGTCAAGGGCACATACTTTGGTTGCGATTTAATCTCTGGCCCTGGTTGGGGTTGTGTGGGAGGCAACCAGTTGATGTGGTGCTCTCACATCAATGTTTCTCTCTCTCTCTCTCTCTCTCTCCGCCCCCCCACCCCGCCTTCCTCCCTCCCTCCCACTCTATCTGAAAATCAATGGAAAAATATCCTCTAGGGCGAGGATTGAAAGGAAATAAAAATAAAAGACGCAAAGTGCATTCATTCAGCAAGACATGATGGAAGAACATTTTGCTCTCATATCATATTTTCAGTTATCTTTTTTTTCCCAATTCCACCCGGAGGCTGAATAAATAATAAATTGACAAAAAGAACCTTCTAGACTAGTGTGCTATCTCCCTCACGAAATTCATTCAAATTCCTCTCTGTGCCTTCCCTACCAGAGCTATTTTTGTGGATCCCATTTGAATCTTGAATCTCTAGACATCATGCCCACTTATAGGTAACTAACTGTTCAGTGGGACCAGTTGAGGAGGAGAGGTTGGGAGTATATTTACCTATCTATGTAGTCTGGGATGTTTTTCTTGCCAGCCCAGTTGGGGATGACAAACTTCTAACCGTGTTGAGTCTGTTCTCACTCAAGCCTGAATTTGGGTTAAGTGAGGCGGTCTCTTTAAGAACTGGTGTGATGGCTCCGCCCTTTAAAGAGGTCAGCTGAGTCTGTAAGTCACATGACTGAAGTGTCTCTTCCGCCCTCTGAAGCTGGGACTGCATGTACAGCTGTGAGGAACCCCGGTGGGGTTGGGGGCGCTGTGCCCCCAACCCCATTCTCTTCCTGAGTCTTCTGTCTGTAGCTCCGTTTGGCCTGCTTGGGGAGGAGACCCGCCAGGTGAGGGACTAGAGCAGTAGAGGTTTCAGGAAATACTACCCTTGAAGGGAGGTTGGAATCTAGGGCAATCAAGGGGTGGAGTGGGGAAGGTAGTTGCATAGAAAAGAATTCTTCAATGGGGGTGGGAGCAGTCGTGGAGCTGGGCGGGTATGAGGGTTTCTTATCTTTCGGGGAAGTCTAGACCCTGACTCAGCCCTGAGTGACCCAAGTCCAGGCAATGTTAGTTTTTTCTTGTCTTGTTCCAGGTGTCTCTGGAGGTCATCCCTAACCAGATGGGCCCCCCACAGAACCTGCTTCATATCCGGGCAGTGGGCACCAATTCCACATTACACTATGTGTGGAGTAGCCTCGGGCCGCCAGCAGTGCTGCTGGTAGCCACTAATACCCCCAACAGTGCCCTGACTGTCAACTGGAGCCGCTTGCTCTCACCTGAGCCTGATGGGGGCTTGATGATACTCCCCAAGGACAGCATCCAATTTTCTTCTGCCCTTGTCTTTACCAGGGTGAGGAGATTAGGGGAGAGCCAAGGCAAAGAGGAGAGGGTTCATCAGATTAGAGGAAGAAACTGAAGACTGGGTGGGTGAAGTAGAGTCAGGATGAGAACCTGGGCATGGGGTCCAGTGAGTGGTGGTGGTGGGGTTGGTGATTCAGGAGAAAGATGGACTCAGGCAAGCCCAGTCCCATCCCATCCCACCCACCAGCTGTTTGAGTTTGACAGTATCAACACGTCTGATGCAGCAGCAAAGCCTCCAGGAAAATCGTATCCCCCATATTCCTTGGCTGACTTCTCCTGGAACAACATCACTGACTCATTGGATCCTGCCACCCTGAGTGCCACATTTCGAGGCCACCCCAATCACGACCCTACCGGGGCTTTTGCCAATGGCAGTCTGGCCTTCAGGGTAAGGGTATGGGAATCAGAAAAACTCAAAAGGCTGGTTTATTAGGGTGGGAGTTAATGGTGGGGGTGGCCTTCAAGTACAGGCATCTGTCTGCTTCCCATGCCCCCATGCCTCCTCCATCCTAGGTGCAGGCCTTCTCCAGATCTGGCCGACCAGCCCAACCACCTCGCCTCCTGCACACAATGGACACCTGCCAGCTAGAGGTGGCCCTGGTCGGGGCCTCTCCCCGAGGAAACCGTTCCCTTTTTGGGCTGGAAGTAGCTACCTTGGGCCAGGGCCCTGACTGCCCCTCGATGCAGGAGCAGCACTCCATCAACGATGAATACACACCTGCCATCTTCCAGGTCAGACTTCCAGTGGAGAGATAGATAAGTGGGAGAATGTAGATGGAACCCCAGTTAGGAACTCAGACAATCATTCAGACATTTATTATTATTTTTTCTTTATTGAGTTTAGAGAGAGAGGGAAGGAGATGGAGAGATAGAAACATTGATGAGAGAAAACGTCAATTGGACACCTCCTGCATGCCCCCCACTGGGGATTTGGCCCACAACCTGGGCATGTGCCCTGACTGGGGATTGAACTGGCGTCCTCTTGGTGCATGGATTGATGCTCAACCACTGAGCCACACTGGCCAGGGCCAGACTATTATTATTTAGCAACACTTTATTCAGCTCCTTTACGTGCTGGGCACCGTGCTAATGAATTTGGCCCAGTCTCTCCCCTCAGCGAGGAAGACAGAGGTGGAAGACAGGCAGTGCAGTGTAACTCTGCTCTTGCAAGTGAGATGTGCAAGGGCCCAGGAGCCCAGAGAAGGGAGCTGAGTGAAGGCTTGCAAAGAGCCAGGGGTAGAAAAGCACCCAGTGCTCATCCAGTCCAACTCCCCTCTCTACAAAGGAAAGATTGAGGTCCCGGTGCAAACAGTCTGTGCGTTCTAGGACCAGGCCTATGGCTCAGGACAACTAGTGACAGATGAAGTCTGAGAAAGGGTGGGGGTACAGAAAGGTCAGGCACAGGTTGGTCCTCCTCACCCTGCATTGTCTTCCTTTCTCCCCAGTTGGACCAGCTGCTGTGGGGCTCTTTCCCATCAGGCTTTGTGCAGTGGCGACCAGTGGCTTTCTCCCAGAAGCAGGGGAGCCGAGAATCAGCCCTTCCCTGCCAGGTCTCCCCTCTTTTTCCCACCTTGGTGTACCTTCTCCCGCAGTCACCCATTGTCCGAGCCTTCTTTGGGGCCCAGAACAATTGTTGTGCCTTCAATCTGACATTTGGGGATTCTACAGGCCCTGGCTACTGGGACCAACACTACCTCAGCTGGTGAGATTTGGGTCTTGGGCCAAGGGTTTGGGAGGTTGAAGTGGAGGAGGGCTGGGCCTCTGTCTTTAAGCCTGCTTCTCTTTCTCTCCCTACTTGCTCTAGGTCGATGCTCCTTGGTGTGGGTACTCCTCCAGTGGATGCCTTGTCCCCACTAGTCCTAGGCATCATGGCGGTGGCCCTGGGTGCTCCAGGGCTTATGCTGCTGGCAGGAGGCCTGTTCCTGCTGCTGGGCCCTAAGAGGTACTCAGAGTACCAGTCCATAAATTAAAGCCTGCTTTCCAGACAGAAAGACATCACTGGACTTGTATGTGTCTCCAACCTCTACAGGTTTTTTTTGTGTGTGTGGTACATGCCCCTAGTGGGAACCGAACCCGGGACTCTCTGGTCCACAGGCTGACGCTCCAACCGCTGAGCCAAACCGGCCAGGGCCCTCTGCAGGTTTAAGGATCAGTGTTCTCAGCAGCTACTCCTTTCTCCCATCTTGCTTTTCTGCAGAACCTCAGAGACTAGCCTCAACTCCTGGAAACCACCAGGTGGGGCTTTCCTTCATACTCTGGAGAGGAACCAGGAACAGGGTTGTTGCTAGAGGGAGGGTGCCCTTAGAAGCCTCTCAGCCCTTTGAGCCCCCATTTCTCTTGAATGGGACTTAGAGGCTGAAATGAAAGGCTTTCTGACTGGTTGCTGCCTTGCAGGCATGAAATAGACTTATTTTTTCCACAAGGCTTGTCTGTGTGTGTGTGTTATTGGGATGGTTCCAGGAAATGAGAGGGCTGAGAAATGGGCGTGAAAGGCAGGTTTCTGTGAATGGTTCTCTCTCTTGACATGACACCGAAGTTCCTGCCAGCCACTCTATCATGTGGAACAGGGAGGTTTCTGGTGTAGTATGAATCAAACAAGGAAGGGACACTTGAGACTAGAGTGCAAACACAAAGGAAGTGCCATGTAAGAATGTGGTAGTAATTTATTGTTACTCCCCCCCCCCCCCACACACACACACATTCACCAGCCATTGTGCCTTCCAACCACCCTAGCCACCACATGTATGGACACGGATGGACACATATGCACACATACACACATCTCTTAGGAGACAGGTTTCCCTGTCCTCTCCCCTCTTCTGGGAAATTTGGGGGTGGGAAGTTACAGGGGCCTAATCTGTCGGAAGAAAGGAGGCAGCAGCTCTGGGCTGGGGCAGTTGTAATAGTCTTGACTGAGGCTAAAGGGCTTGTGAGGGCCAGTCATGGAGGGTCCTCAACCCAGGCCCCCAGAACAGTTTTACCCAACGTGAAAGTCCTGTGCTCTGATGCCCAGCCTTTATCTTTAGGCATGAGCAATATTCCCAGTCTCATTGAGGCCCTCTGCTTAGACCACTAGCACAAAAATGGTCAGAGTTTTGGCTGTGACTCTGCCCACTGCCTCAGAGGAGGCTGGAGAGTAGAGCCGAGTCCAGCAGTGGTGGGCCCTAGTGGTGGGAGGCTGCTCAGGAAGGAACCATGCTTCTGGTCCTGACCCCATGCCCTCAGCATCCTTAAGAAATGTAACTGTCCACCTCTTTCCCTGCAAGAAAACATCTGGTCCACCTCCCTCCTTCATGACTATCCCAGGCTTGAAAGGTGAAGGGCAGCCCCAACTGGGGTAGAGTGGGAGTAGGGGCAGGAATAGTCCAAGCTCTGATTTGATGGGACCCTGTTGGGTCAGGAACAGAGTTCATCTCATCAAGGTGCCCAGGCTAGGGGCAAGAGGACAGAGCCGGCTCAGCCCCAGGGGCGGGACCTGTAGTCTGAGCGGGCGTAGTCAGGGTAGTCCAGGCGGCTCTCCGTGGCAGTGAACATGCGCTCCGGCTCCACCACGAACATGTAGTAGAGGTTCCACACTAGCATGGACAGCAGGGGCAGGAATGTCAGGCCATAGCCAAAGCCTCGAAATGAGCGGCCCACAGCAAAGGTCAGCCAGTATATCAACCTGCCAGGGTGAGAAAAGGTCAGGCTACCCCCAGGGGAGCTAACTCAGGGTAGGCTGAGATGGGAAGAACAGACAGGGAGGGAAGGAGGTGCGGGTGGGTGGGTACGACCGACACTTCTAAAGAAAGTAAATGTTAATGTGCTATGAACCAGACACACTGCTAGTTACTCAAGGGGCACTATTCAATTTAGACTTCCCCACATCGCCATGAGGTCAGTTTATTATTTCCCTCCTTCTTTTATTTTATTATTTTTATTTTATTTTATTAATTTTTTGGGTACGTGCCCCTAGCGGGAACCGAACCTGGGACTCTCTGGTCCACAGGCTGATGCTCCAACCGCTGAGCCAAACCGGCCAGGGCTATTTTTTTAATTTAATTTAAAATTTTTGTTGTTAATCCTCACCCAAGGAGATATATATATATATATATATATATATTTTTTTTTTTTTTTTTTCTTCTTTTTTTATCCTCACCCGAGGACATTTTTTGCATTTATCTTCAGATAGAGTGGGAAGGAGAGAGGGGGGAAGAGAGACAGAGAAACATCGATGTGAGAAAGACACATCGACTGGTTGCCACCCACACAACCTCAACCAGGGCCGGGGACAAACTGCAACCAAGGTACATGCCCCTAGCGGGAACAGAACCTGGGTCTCTCTGGACCACAGGCCGACGCTCTAAACACTGAGTCAAACTGGCCAGGACTCCTTCCTTTCTCTAAACAAACAAAACAGCCCTGGCAGGTTTGGCTCAGCAGTTAGAGCATCGGCCCTCGAACCAGTGAGTCACAGGTTCGATTCCGGACAAGGGCATGTATCTAGGTTGCGGTTTGTCCCTGGCCCTGGTCGGGGTCATGTGAGAGGCAACCAGTCGATGTGTCCATGTTTCTCTTTCTCCCTTTCTCTCACTCTCCCTCCCTCCCACTCTATCTGAAGATAAAGAGAAAAATATTCTCGAGTGAGGATTAAAAATAAACACTTTTAAAATGTCTTCCTCCCTCTACTGATCCCCAGCCATCCTATTCTCTCCCCTCAACTCCCCACCTCAGACAACCAATATTATGGTTTCTTGTGCAACAGTGATTTTTTTAATGTATATAGCAAAAATATTTATTTATTTATTTTTATTTTTTTGGTATGTGCCCCTAGCAGAAACCGAACCCGGGACTCTCTGGTCCAAAGGCTGACACTCCAACCGCTGAGCCAAACTGGCCAGGGCAGCAAAAAGATTTATTGTTTTCCTCCCCTGCTTTGAAGTTTGGTAGCATACTATCAAGAGTGTTCTGCACATTGACTTTTTTCTCATTTTATACACCTTGACGATTATTTTTATTAGTATATAAACAACTTCCTGATTCTTTTACAGCTGCAGTACATTCCATTTTGTTGTTGTTGCTAATCCTCACCCAAGGATATTTTTCCATTGATTTTTAGAGACAGTGGAAGAGAGAGGGGGAGAGGGAGAGAGAGAAATATCAATGTGAGAGACACGTTGATTGGTTGTTTCCCACATGCACTGGGGCTGAGGATCAAACCCAGGTACGTGCCCTTGATCAGGAATTGAACCCACAACCCTTTGGTGTGTGGGCCGACACTAACCACTGAATCACACTGGCCAGGGCCATTCCATTACATTTATTTCCCCTTTTGCAGATGAAGAAACTAAGATTCCAAAGGGGTTAAGTAAGACTGGTCCAAGGTCACACATCTGGGAAATAGTAAAACTGTGATTTGAACCCAAGCCTGTTCATTACTCCCCATCCTGAATTCAGAGAGGTGGAGGAAAAGAAGAAAGCAAGAAGGCAGCTTCCAGAGGGCTTGAAGCCCAGAGGGATGGGTAAGCCACAACCAAAGTTCTCTTGGAAGATCCACTAAAAATACATATGGGGAGCAGCTTCCTTATAAAGGATAACTTATTATAAAATTAATATGCCTCTATGGTTTTACCTATTAAACAGGGAAGAGTAACTGCTGCTTCTCTACGGCACCAGGAGGCAACATTTTATAATAATTATTCACATTTAGCAAACTCTCACCAAGTGCCAGGCTGTTGTACACACTCTACATGATTTCAGTTAATCCTCACACCAACTCCATTTTATAGATGAAATGTATGATGAAACTGAGATACAAAATGCTTAAGTAGCCCTCTCTCTCTCTCTCTCCCCCCCCCTCTAAAATCAATAAAAACATATCCTCAGATGAGGTTTAAAAAAAATGCTTAAGTAACCTGCCCATGGTAGAAAAGAAAGGACCTTGGATAAGGGAAAGGGACCTGGAATTCTAGTCCTGACACTTCTGCTGACTGAACAAAGTGACTCTTCTCCCCCAATCTGTCATGATTTCCTCTCTCTGAAATGGGTCAGATTGACCAGACAATTGCTGAGTCTTCTTTAGCTCCCTGATGATTCGTACTGTTTAAGCCAACTTGTATCTGAAACCATCATTCCCCGAGAGGGAGATGGGAGGTGGAGTTGCATGAGCGGGAACATTTATCTTGGGAAACATCACTGGGAGAAAATGTAGGGCTGTGTGATGGGAAGCTGGTAGGACAGATGACTACTAGGCTACAATCAGAAGTAACAGGAAGGCCCTGACTGGTTTGGCTCAGCAGTTAAGAGTGTCGGCCCTCTCCCTGGCCAGTTTTGCTCAGCGGTTAGAGCGTCAGCCTGCGGTCCGGAGAGACCCGGGTTCAGTTCCCGCTAAGGGCACGTACTTCGGTTGCAGTTTGTCCCCGGCCCTGGTTGGTCGTGCGGGTGGCAGCCACTCGATGTGTCCCTTTCACATCGATGTTTCTCTCTCTCTCTCCCTTCCTCTCTCTCCCACTCTATCTGTACAAAAAATGGAAAAATATCCTCGGGTGAGGATAAAAAAAAAAAAGAGTGTCGGCCCAAAGACCGAAGAATCATGAGTTCGATTCCCAGTCAAGGGCACGTACCTGGGTTGCAGGTTTGATCCCTGGTCCCAGTGGGTGGCAGGAGGCACCGATTGATGTGTCTCTCTCACATTGAAGTTTCTCTCCCTCCCTCCCTCCCTTCCACTCTCTCTAAAAATCAATGGAAAAATATCCTCGGGTGATGATTAACAACAACAGAAGTAAAGGAACAGAAATTTTAGCTCAATAAGAATAATGTTTTAATAGTTAAAGCAACCTGGAATTATATATCAAAAGTGACAAAAGGAGCCCTGGCCAGTTTGGCTCAGCGGTTAGAGTGTCGGCCTGCGGTCCTGAGAGACCCAGGTTCGGTTCCCGCTAAGGGCGCGTACCTCGGTTGCAGTTTGTCCCCGGCTCTGGTCGGTTGTGCAGGTGGCAGCCACTCGATGTGTCCCTTTCGCGTCGATGTTTCTCTCTCTCTCTCTCTCTGTTCCTCTCTCTCCCTCCCACTCTACCTGAACAAAAAATGGAAAAATGTCCTCGGGTGAGGATAAAAAAAAATAAAATAAAATAAAAAAAAAGTGACAAAAGGAAATGTATTAGAGAAAAAATGTAAAGACCTGCATTAATAAGGCTTCAGAAGTGCAAAGGCACCTTCTAAGTTACCTACCAGTAGTAGCCTTAAGGATTTCAGGTGACTGTAAGTTCTAAATGTGAGTAATGAGGCTGCCATGAGAACTAACGTGGCCTTGGTTTGCATGAGCAGAAGGACAATGCCCTTGATCAGGCTCCCGGACCCTATATAACAAGTAGGAATATTTCCTGCCCAGAGGGAAGGACCCAGGACACTGAATGGATCAGGGCTACTTAGCAAGTACACAGTAGGGGAGCAGGGTGTTGGAATGAGGGATTCCTAGCCAATTCCAGAGATCAGAGACAGGGCAGCAGTTTTTAGAACAGCATAAGGAACTTTGTAATAATTAGGATCTTTGAAAAATGAAACAGACTGCCTTTTAAAAAACTGAGTACTTGGCTATAGGGGGTGTTCAATTAGAGGCCTATGGCTACGTGACCAGTGTCACAGAGGAGTGGCTTCAATGGGTGGGAGGTTGGTCTACATGATACCTAAAAGCTCTTCCAGTTCTAGATGGTATAAGCATCTCTGAAATCAACTTCTTCTGGGAAGACATACGAGCTGATCACCTGCCACCAAGGTGCGGTAAGGTGCAAGGGACAAAGTGGATTCACCTTTCCAGGGCACACATTTGGGCTGATGCAGGATCCAGGAAGCTCCCTGTCCCTGGCTCTCCAGACTTTCAGTTCTGGGTTCCTCTAGCACCATTGCCTGCCCTGTGCCCCACCCCTAGCCCCAACTCACCTGGAGACCGCAAAGAGGCCAGTGAGCAGAGGGAGCAGCTTGAGGGTATCTTGGGGCAGGTAGGTGGAAAGCACAGCCAGGTTGAAGAAGTAGAGGATGAACAGCTGGACTGACTGGGCCACATACTGCCGATGGATCTCCACCTCCCGCCGTGGCTCCCCAAAGGGTCGCAGAGCAGAAAAGCACAACAGACTCAGCCCATACACCAGGAGCCCTGGGCAGGGGTGGGGGTGGAGAACACAGGGTCAGAACTGAACAGCCAACAGGAAGCAGGGGCAGGGTTTGTGGAGGAGAGCTCATGGGCATGGACTCTCCACAGTGGGACTCTCAGTCCCAGAAGGGACGGCACAAGGGTGTGCGCAGCACTGAGGGTCTAGGCTGAGTGAAGGAAACTCTCCTGCTCCCCAAGCCAGGCAGGCCATTATCTGAAGTCCAGTTCCCAGGTGCGCCCCACCCCCTCTCCTTCTCACAGGGCCCCAGCTCACCCAGCACGATGGGGAAGGTGGCAAAGACTCCGCAGCGCAGCGTGTAGACAAGGCGGGAACTCATGGTGGGTAGCCGAGGGGCATCGAAGGGCAGGAAGGTGTATGCCCCATACAGCAGGCAAGGGAAGAGGACAAGAGCGGCTCCCACAGAGGCCACGGCCTTCAACCCCTCGTGACCTCCACAGCTCCTGCAGCTCCCACAGGAGTGGCTGGGCCTTGCCACAGCCTCGACCCACTTGCGCTCAGAGGGCTCAGGTTGGGTGGTTCGGGTGGGCAGGAAGGTTCGGCGGCGCTCGCCCTCGCCCACCTCACAGCGTACAGCAAGTTCCTCCTGGGGCCTTCGCTCAATGCACTGTAGGTCAATGGGCACGAAGGCCCGGGCCGCCTTCTCAGGCAACAGGTTGGCATCATCTTCAGGCAACTCCTCTAGTTTGCTGAGTGGCTCTGATTCAAGGGGCTCGGGCTCAATGTCCCGCCAGCCAGGGGGATCTGGAAACAGGGCACTGGGCTGAGGGCCAGCCCCCCAGGGCAAGGTGGCAGCCTCGCTTACTGTGCTGTCTAGGCCATCTTCAGTCCCCTCTTCTGCTGTGGGAGATCCAGCTGAAGACCCCACTCTAGAGGACTCAGCACCAGGCAACTCAGCCCCACCTTCCCCTTCTGGCTGCCGGCCATTGGGGACCAAGGTCTGGGGTGGGCTCTTCTCAGGGGCCTCAGGCCTCTTCACTTCCAGCAGGGTCAGGGTTTCGGGTTCTGTCATTCTGGGGCCTCAGTTCTGGAGTCTATCCTGAGGTCATGTCACTGTGGAAGTTAGCAGAGGAAAGTTCTGTCAGAAACTCCTGTCCTCTGGCCCTTAGGATGGGTTGATAGAACTGGAATTCTTCAGGGCAGCTGGCCCCACGGGCTTTAGCCCCTTCTGGGACCTTGGGGAGAACATGGTACAGAGGAAGGTGTTGAAAGAGAGGGAGGCAGAAGAGAAGAGAGCAGCTGAAATGGAGGCACCCTTTTTGACATAAAATTCAATGCAGCAGGAAAGGTTGAGTCAGGGGCATAGGCTGCTGTGGCCTCAGCTAGTCCCCACCCACACCTACCCGCCTCCACCAAAACCCCTAGGGTCATTGCCACCTAAAGCAGGAATAGGAAGAAGAGGAGCTGCTTAGAATTTTGTTAAGAACTCCTTTTTCACTAAGGATCTCCTTGTGGACAGAGAGGCTGCCCCTTCACCTTCAAACCTCCCTTTCTCCCTGCAGGTGCTCATTTAGAACTATTCTGGCAACTGATACCAGTGATTTGCTGACAAATCTGTCCCAAGAAATTGGCAATAGCAGTGCACCTATTCTTTAGTCTCCAGACTAGGTACTTGGGCAATTTCTAAACTGCTCACTGGCCCACCTCATTCATCTCCAGAGGGTCTACGTCTGTGCAGTCTGATTTCTAGGTCCAATCATGGCTGTTTTCTATGCCTCCTCTCCTGTCTTTCTCCTCTCCCTGACATGCCTCTTGTGGGGCTAATCCCCTCCTCCACCTCCTCAAGGGCCTCCTACCCCTTGCCATTAGGACCCATGACACCCTCTTACTTTCCATCTGAAGAGAGGTGGAGGGTCCCCAGTGTCGGAGAAGGAGCTGCCCAGCTCCCTGCTGGCTCTGCAAGTATTCTTTTCTCTCCCTCCTTTACCTGTGTCTCCAAACCAGTCTGACCAGAGCAGGTGGGGCCCAGATTAAAGGGGCAGGTCCCGCCCTGCTGAATCTGCCGACAGAAAAAGCATTAGCAGAGGACATCATCCTTTCTGAAAGTGGGGTGCAGCTGGGCACAGAAGTGTGCATTCTAGGCAAATGGGATGTGTAGGAGCTCCCAGCTCAGGAAAGCAGAGGGGGACCATTGGGTTTGTCCATCACAGGGTGCTTGGAGTAGGTTGGAATACCCAGAAAAGAGGTAGAATCTGTACACTCACTCATTCAATATTTATTGAGCACTTATTATTAACTAGGCACTATTTCCAGGCACAGACAGGGAGAGACCAAGATGACAGGCAAGGTCACTGCTCTTGAGTTCTGTTGGGATAACAGATAATAATGAAGCCTAACAATTAAATTAATAAGACAATTTCAGTAGGGAAAGACCTCTTTGCCAAGGTGCCATTTGAGCTGAGACCTGAAGGGAAATGAGGAGTATGAATGTTCCAGAGGAACAGAAAGTGAAAGACCAATGAGTGTGAAAGACTTTGGCTGTTTCAGGAACGGAAAGAAGGTCGGTGATTGGAACCAGGATCATAGTGGTCCAAGGGGAATTTGTTTCCATTACAACCTGTACACAGCCCCCCCCCCCCCCCCAATACCTTGCTTTTTAGCTTAAATTTAAGGTCAAGAAAGCAACAGGAATCCAAGGTGATCTTTCCAGTGGGAGGATCAGGGCGCAGAAACGTGAGGGAGTGGCTTATCACTCCTGTGGGACCTTACCTCTAAAGTAATCTGAGCTCTGTGAGGGCGGGAGAGTGCCTGGTTGCTCATCTTTGCGTCTCCCGAACCTAGCTTTGTGGCTGGAAAACAGCAGGTGTGCAATCTTTGGGAGGGGGAGCGGAAGGGTCGAGGCGCTTGTACACGAGTCACATCTTGGAAGGCCTTCCTCTTATGTTATGTTCGGCCCTTCACAAGAAAACTTTCACATACACTGTTTTTGTTTGTTTAAATAATAGAAAACAGGGAGACTTGGAATCACTGTAACCAGTAATCCGAAAGAGGCTTGGTTCAAATAGGGTGAGGAGGGGGGCAGAATGATGGACTAAATAACCACTGTAGGACAAAGCAAAATATCGCTCCTAGCTCCCAGCATAAGCCCATCTACTCCATCCAGTTTAGCTTCAGCCCCGGGCCTGGGTCCACTGTCCGTTTTCTGGTAGCTTTGTCAATAAAGTTTTTCTTAAGGGCTGGAAGAAGCCGGAAAGAGGATGTGCTGCCCAGAGTTAATTCGGGCAACTTCCCGGGAGGGAAAACGAGTTTCGCGAGATTTGGTAGCAGTAGGTCACTGGCCCGCAAATGTGCACCTGCTATCGCGAGACTTGGGAGGCGGAGGAGGAGCTGTCGCGGGCAGCTGCCTCACAGCGATGGCGGCCGAGCAGGGCCGGCCGTGGTGGCGGCTGCGGCTACGGTCGGAGACTGCAGTTGTGGCTGTCGCGGTGGGCGGCAGGGGCCTGTGACCGGGAGCCATCCCCGGACCCGGGCACCATGAGCCAAGGCCCCGCCGCAGGGGAGAGCAGCGAACCCGAAGCAAAAGTCCTTCACACTAAGCGGCTTTACCGGTGAGAGGGGCCAGGGCGTGAGTGTAGCTGCCGGGTGAGGGAAGTAGGGGACTGCAAGGGGTGGGGCTTCTGGGCGGGCGGTCCCCGGGCGCGGGGCTGGGGTGCGGACGAAGGAGGAGGGTGCAGTTTTGGAGGGAGCAGGGGCGGGGGCGGGGACCAGTATGGAGCTGAAAGAAGAAATTGGATGGGTGGGAGGTTGGATGGAAGCATGTGGAAGAATCCTTTCTGCGGTGCGCGGGGAGCTCGGCGGGCACCGAGCCTTGCGGATTTGGGATAAGAAGGTGGCAATTGAGGGGTTGGGAAGGTAAAGGGTGGGGCCAGAGATGGAGAAAAACTCGGAGGAGACTAGTGCTAAGAACTCTGTAGGACTTACTGAGAAGAGCCCTGATCTGAAATCCAGGGAGCCAGGTCCAGGTCCTTGCCTTGCCACCTCTCACTGTGTGACCTTGGGCCTGGTCTTCCTCATCCTTAAAAGGAGAGATGTGGATTTTATGCACTCTGAAGCCCCTTATGGCTGTGATTTTGGGGACTCTGAATGAAAAGAAAGGCCAGAAGACAGTGTGTTGGACTGGAAGAGCCATGAAAGGCTTTGAGTCCATAGTGGTGTTAGGTCATGGGAGCCCATTTCAGGGCACCTGGGGACTCCTGATTCCTGCTTGCCTCCCAATCTTATGACTACAGGCTTTTGCCAGGCAACTTACATTCTTGGTTTCTGATTTCCACAGTGCCACTCACAGTCCTCAACATCTTCAGCCCTCTTTTGGGAATAGGCCAGTATGAATTCTTCCTGCCCTGGGTCAAGGATTTTTTTGTGGGGGGAAGTTGGAAGATGGACTGTAGGACTGGATCGAAATAGAATGAAGCATAGAGATCAAGTTGAGTTTTCTGCTTTCGAGTAGGGAGTGCAGTTTTCGTTTGACTCAGGCTCTACTGAACAGAACTGTTTGCATAAGAAGAATACCCTCAGAGACCTTGGCCCCGTCTTGACAGTGAAAGAGTCAAGAGCATGTTGTCTTTTCCTCCTTTGGGTAGGCAAACTGCCTGCTCTGGCTTCATAAGTCAGAAGATGGGGAAATATAGGCTGCTCCCAGAATGAAAAGTGATCCAGTCCAGCAGCCCCTGGGCTCCCTCTGTGGGATGCCCCAAGCAATCCTGAGTGAGGAGTTGGTTAGGGGGTGGCACATGTACCTTGTCATGCTGCTGAGTGTCAGCACTGCCTGTCAGACAGAGGGTGGGCAGTGTGCAGGATTCCTATCTCCAGCTTTTGGTAATGGTTCTGTTCTGATCATCCTTTTTGATCTTTCTCAAATGTAGTTCTTTAAGTCACTACCTTCACTGGACTGACTGATTTAAGCTGATGTGTTTGTATGTATGGCCTACATATGTGCACATAGTATCTCTGTTTGTAATTGTGTGTTGGCTTTGAGCAGGGTGGAAGTCTGAGACAGCGGGTCTCTGTTTTTATTCTTTGTTATAGCAGTGGTGATTGGTGGAAGGAACTGGGAGAGGGAGGTCTGGTTTCTCTGGCCAATATAAATGTGTTGTTTAGACTATGAAACTGTCACTCTGAGCTTTAGTAAATTTGGGACATTCCCATAGTATAACTGTTTTCAGAAATGAAATTCTGAAATGTTTTAAGCCCCTAAGAAGAAAAGGTAGCTGGAGAAGGGATGCTGGAAGGGACACAAACACCAAATAATTAATTAGGCCAATTAACTCAAAACATTTTTTCCTTTATTGATTTTAGGGAGAGAGAGGAAGGGAGAAGGAGAGAGATAGAAATATCGATGAGAGAGAACATCGATTGGCTGCCTCCTGCATATCCCACACTGGGGATTGGGCCCACAACCTGGGCATGTGCCTTGACTAGAAATCAAACCGGTGATCTGTTGGTGCATGGGTCAATGCTCAGCCACTGAGCCACATCAGCTGGCAGAGCAAATAACTTTTTAAAAAATATTTAAATCTGTGCTTGGCCTGAGATTACAATAGTGAATGATACACATGACAGTTTGGTGTTTTGTTTTGTTATTTTTATCCTCATCCGAGGACATTTTTCCATTTTTTGTACAGATAGGGTGGGAGAGACAGAGAGAGAGAAACATCGACGTGAAAGGGACACATCGAGTGGCTGCCACCCGCACGACCAACCAGGGCCGGGGACAAACTGCAACCGAGGTACGTGCCCTTAGCGGGAACCGAACCCGGGTCTCTCTAGACCGCAGGCCAACGCTTTAACCGCTGAGCCAAAGCGGCCAGGGCAGTTTGGTGGTTTTGTTCTAAAGGAGATTCGATTTAGGGGAGGAGCTTGTGATCTGATTGTGAATGGAGAAGAATGTCCTGAGTCCTCTCAGATTTAAGAATTTGCAATTAGCCCTGGCCGGTTTGGCTCAGCAGATAGAGCGTCGGCCTACGGTCCAGAGAGACCCGGGTTCAGTTCCCGCTAAGGGCACGTACCTCGGTTGCAGTTTGTCCCCGGCCCTGGTTGGTTGTGCGGGTGGCCACTCGATGTGTCCCTTTCACATCGATGTTTCTCTTCCTCTCTCTCCCTCCCACTCTATCTGAACAAAAAATGGAAAAATGTCCTCAGGTGAGGATATAAAAAAAGAATGTGCAATTAGAACTTCTTAGAGTAGTAGTTATTAACCTTTTTTGGATTGAGAATTTTAGGAGAGCTCAGGAGCCTGTTCATAAAAATATACACACATATATACACTCCTTATATCTATCTGTGGCACTGAAGTTAAAAGCCCTGCCCTGGGAACTAAGCTGATATACAGTAAAAATCACTGATGGGTGCCAGATGCTGCTGGCATCAAGGGCCAGGCTGGCTAAAAGGGCTTGGCTCCCTTCTCTAGGCAACCTTCAAGGTTGCCTGTGGGAAGGCCTTGATTACCATCCCTCCCACTCATCTGGGGTCTGGTGGTCACTTTGCCTTGGAAAGGGCAGCTTTTAGTGGTGTGCCAGCTGAGCCACACAGGATGCTCACCTTCTGTGGCCCACTTTCCCCAGCCCAGGAACACAGGTTTCAGTATTCTGAAACAATCTTGGATTGTTTTGGGAATCATCACTCCTTGGTTTTTGGTTGCTTTTGTGCTCAATGCTATGCCCACTTCATCTGTTCTCACAGCTGCTGTCTGTCATCCTCTAGGTTTTACCCTTCCAGAGATGACCCCTGCCTCTGGCACTCCTTAAGCATCCATAGAGTTTCCTTGGCCTTTACTGTTAGTGTCTGGAGTCTCTTCCTCAGCCTTATAACAAGAAGGATGGCGATTCATGCAACACTTAACTCTGTGAGGCACTGTTATGAATGCTTTTTGTATTAACTAATTTAATCCTCACAAA